CTACTAAATGGACTATTCTGCACCTACCTGGGAATATTCAGGTGCTCCTGAAGAATTCTGGCCATTTTGAAACAATTTCACAGCTTTCAGGTAGGTTTCCATGGACTCTAGTTTGGCTTTGTCAAAACCTTTCAAAAGATGAGTAAAAAGAAATGCCATAAAAGAATACTTGAAATTTGGGGGGCTTAGGGTACTGAATTGCAATAATTAACAAGAAACAAATTTACGTATGTGTACGAGGGGGTACCCAAAAAACTCCGGAATTTTCCTCCAAAGCGATATATTAAAAACTTTTCTTACAAATCATCCTTATCACTTTCAAAGCAATCTCCATTACACTTAATAAGCTTGTCAAATCCAGATGCCATTCTTGGAAACATTTTTCAAACTCATCTATTTGGATGGCTGACAGCATCTCCCTCGTTTTTTTCATCACTTCTTTTGTATCATCAAACTGTCCTTTCATTTTCCTCTGCATTCACAGAATCAAAAATAAGTCCCATGGAGTGAGGTCAGGTGAGGCATGCTGGTTTTTGTTGAAAACGTGCGCACTGAGATGGCTGTGTGAGCAGGTGCACTGTTGTGGTGGCAAAAGCAGCCTGCCGCCTGCCACAAATCAGGTCTTTTTTGTCACACACAGTTTCACAATCTCTTCGGAACTTCTAAATTGAGTTTGATTGATGTTTGCTTTTGGGGCCATAAAATAGCATCATCATGTCTTGTCACCAGTAATGACCTTGGAAAGAAAAGTCTGGGTGGCTTAGGAGCTGTCCTTTCAAAGCACAGCTTGGTTCCCGGCTACACTTTTTGCTAGTAGTCAGAACCTGAGGCAAATTTTGCAGCGGCCCTTCTCATTGCAAATCTTCCTTTAAAATGCATCCAATCGATCTCCAAGACAGCCCAGATGGCTTCCTCATCTCTTCAATGATCTGTTGAGCACAAAAGCATGAAGACTGTCTACATTTTCGTCCATTCAGGATGCTGACGGAAGTCCAGACGAGGTTTGTCGTCAATCAACATTTCACCATTTTTTGAAACGAGAAAACCACTTGTACACTTGAATTTTTCCCATAGTGCTGTCTTTGTAAGCTGTGTTCAACATCATAACAGTTTCTGCGGCATTTTTCCCCGAGCAGGAAACAAAATTTCACAGCTGCACACTGTTCTCATCAACCGACCATCACAAAAAACGAGATTTGAGCGAAATCGCTTTTATGAAAAAAGTCACTGTGACCAGAGAAAACCTGCCTCGGTTTCCTAGTGAACTAACTGGGAGTGAGTTGCTCTGCATATTATGCTCTGCATAACCCTCCCATTTTGGGGGGAGGGT